TGCCATATGTTTGACGAATATGGTGAACAAGATCTTTCGCATATTGAAATCCTCCTTCAGTTGCCTCCCACTTTTCCTTTTCTCTTGGCGGATCTCCTCTAAGAGCAAGAATGTTCGTGCACCCAGCTTTGTAGGCATTTCTGAGAGCTTCATCGACCTTCTCCTTTCCCATGTCGGTACAAGTTAAATGCATGCAAGTCTCCAATCCATATTGCGATTGAGCCACTCCTACCATCTCACATGTCAATTGAGCGAGACGGCCACCTGCACCCCAGGTAATATCAATGAAACTAGGTCCTAAGCCATGCATGCGGTCCATGCGATCGTAAAGATTTTGTACACCTTGAGCAGTTTTTGGTGGGAAAAATTCGAAAGAGAAAGAAGGGTTGCCCGACCTTTCGGCCTCTGAGAGCATGTCTTTGATGTGCATCTTGAAAGTCAAGGATCTGCAACTGACGTTGTTGTCGAATTGATATAGAAACTGAAACCAAATGATGTTAGCAATAATTCATTGAAGCTTCTGAGAAACATGGGCGGTGAAGGCGGCGAAGGCGGCGACAAACCGTGAGGTTGTCAAATTTGTATCGACCCCGCAACGCCTTCACCAATAGCAGAGTTAAAGCCCTGAATAACCCAATATAGTTTGGCAGATTGAATGCAAGGGCCGGTAGTGAAGTATGGTACCTTTTTGTTGCCTTTTTGTGAAGATATACTCTTTTCAAGTAGGCTAGACTAGATCCTCGAAATGATAATAAAGAATGAAGAGGACTAGATGGATACTAGCCAAAATACCTTTTACGAGCCCAACGATCTGCTACGTCTCGCAGCATGTACTTGGATTGCTTTGTGTTGATGATTGTACTACGGAGGTTTGCTGCAAACAAATTGGTGGTGAAGTACTGATAGATGTACAAAGCTCAGAGAGGGAGGTGGTAGAAAAGGTTCCAGAAAATTATATAGATAGATGTCAATCGAGACAAATTTTGGACCAATGATGGTGTATCAACTCCACATTTCGTAGTTGGTTCCAATGGTGGTGCAATGAATAAGAGAACAATGAAGTCTCAATTCTCGATTCTCAATTCTAAAGGCAATTGCAATGAAGCTGCGAGCACGCAAGCAGAATGATAAGAGAAGCAGACAGATCTTATCAATACCTATTACCTAAGGACCTTTTTAACACCACCACACTGTTTGAAGTATGTTTGTTTGTACAGTACCACCATTTAATTTCGCGGAGGTGAGTGTTCCCTACAAAATTTGTCACAAAAACTTTCGGGCGCCGAGAAAATTGCCCCTCCCCCTCCTACGGCACGGCATAACGTTACATTTGACCATAATATAATGTTCCGACTGTATGGAGACGAATTTCTATACCCCAGTGTGGTATATATGGACTCCGTGAAATCAACGTTCAAAAAAGGCATCACCATCTAATGTTGTTGTTATTATTGTCATTGTGTTGCCCTATGTAGCTAGAAGTATCTCTTGCTTTATTTCTACATGCAAATCGTCACAAAGGATTCGCTTCCAGTATCTCAACAACACCGCCAATAAACATGAAAGTATTAACCGACGCCAGCACTCCATATTTTCATCCCTGGATATCATCACAACATGCCATGCCAAATTCTAGACCGACAAGAATGCCAACTAAACGAAAATACTATTGTTGTCCCACACCATCTTCATCAGTCCGCAAGCCATTAAATTGAGTGCCTTGATTGGCAGTGCTCAATCTTGCACATAATCCCAGTAACACCACAGTTTCCGTGGCAGCATAATGGTTAAGAGCATCTAACAAAATTTGCAAATGCTTGCTAAAGTTGAACTCATATTTTCTGATGATCTCATACATCTTTTCGAGTCGAGCTTCATCGAAACCTCCTTCGGAAGATAAGTTCCCATTGTTAGGTTCTCCATTTCTAGCACCTCGATCACGCTGGTAGCGAGACCATTGCTGTGAGTTCATGGTACTAGGTCTTTCTGTACCCAGTAAATCCGTGTCAATTTTCTCCAATTCTCTTGAGAGCCATGAAGTAAATGTTGCGAACATGGTGCAGGTTGACATAAGTTTAGAGTGGATCTATGAAGCATTAGTAGAGCTCAAAGTAGCAATTATTATAGATGAACATACCCTCAAAAGTCTGCTGTTCGTAAGCATGCACTCCTTCATACAAGTATCAAGAAAGTCGACATGATCTTGCATGAGTTCATCGACAGTTCTAACAGCTGGTGTTTTCCCTACTTTATCATCTTCTTTCGCATTGAGTCTAGCCATCAACCCCTGCCAGTTTGGTTCGATAACTTCAGATGTACAAAAGTAGAGAAGTTGCTGCACAAATACCAGCATTCGTGCTCGCAAGGTAAAGACTCTTCGCTTCCACAATTCAAGGTTTCGATTTGAGCTTTTGTGAGACCAAGTAGCGGCTCGGTTGTGAGTTTGCCAGCAGGTGACAAGTTGTTGCTCGAGATAACGCAAAGACAACAAATATCGAAAGAGTGCTTGATATCTCCAGACTGTCTTCCTACTGATGACAAGAGATACTGGAAATGGGACAGAATAATCGAGTTGAAGAGAAGTAAACCCTACAGCAGCCTTATCGTTCTCCGTGACTGGTTGAGCAGGAGTTTGTAGTGATTCTCCCTGTTCGATACCCGATATATTGACTACTCTGGTCAACATATTTGTTAAGCTTATATCATTCATCTCAACTTTGATGTCTTCCTTGAAGGGATCCTGGGCAGCGACACTTCCAGGTTGTCGAAGAACAAGATCCAGTAATGACTGAAGCTTACTGGTATTAACAGCCTTAAGAGGTTTTCGTAACTCAGAATTACCGAGCTCAAGGAAATAAGAGAAGAAGTCCGAGCGATCCAAAAAGAAATAGTGCTTCAAAGACCTTAAGCGTGCAGGTAAGGAATGAGCAGTCAGTAGCAAGTTAAGTAAAGACTCGTTGGCATGCGCGTAGGCACTATTGACATTTTCCAGAAACCGATTGTCATCAAAAGATCGCGGGACGTCTTTCACCTCTTTGCTCACATCGACACCCCCACATTCACGGACGACATTCAAATATTTACCGGCCAAGAGAACTTTATCTTTCACACCTTCCAATTGAGGGGGTACGTCAGTATCCCTAATCGTGTATCGTCTCTCCCAGTACTCGTCGGTGTAATCTTCCTCCAACCTCTCCCTCTTTATACTTTTCTGTTCTCTCACTAGGAACTCCGCATGAGGGTCTTTGATGCTTCCGTGATGCAACCACTCATTGAGCATCACCATATAAGGCCGACTAGCATCTCTCAACAGTGAAGTCAGGAGAGATCGAGCGGCCGGATCGCCAGACATTGTCTCCAGTCGCTTTGTGATGAGACCCAATACGCTTCCACCTTTGCAAATCTTTTTACCTGGAATATTCCCAAGCCCAAGGTCTCCACCCTCACGGAGACTTTCTAAGATATTTTCAAAATCATCCATTCCATCCCCATCCTCCTCATCCTCCTCAAGCATGGAATTTCTCTTCAATATTTCATGGGCAAGCGAAGATAACTGAAGCATCATGTGGCTCGTAGGAAGAGTATGGAGGTTTAGAACGTGTAAAGTAAATGATGGATTGGTAAGAAATTGCGTCTCGAGCTGAGCGATCAAAATGAGGTAATCTTGTAGAAGTTTCCTCATGGCAGCACATAATGCATGATTGACAGCTCCAAACTCTTCCCGGCTTTGTACTTCAACAAAAGCTTCAGTTGCTCCGTAATTCGTAGCCATCTTGAGCATAGTCGTGGTTAGGTCCTGTAAACTAGGGTCCAAGCCTGGTAAAATCCTAAAGCTGGGACCCGCAAGACGATCCTTCTCAATGAGGGGATCATAGCCCTTCCCAAATCTAATATATTGCCCTTCATAGCCCATGAAAACAAATAGAAGATCCTCCAATATAGCTGCCTCTTGTACTTCCAGGGACAATTCGTGGAGGGGCTGAGGCTGTAAGGCTTGGGGAGCTTGGGAAGCAAGTGGTGGAATGGAGATTCTGGACGCCAATGGCGCGGTTGTATGCGGCACTAAGGATACTTGGGGATCCCATGGTAATACTAAAAACGTAATGTTTAGAATAACTGTAGATTTTTTCCCTCAGAAGGTATCTTACCAGGTTGAGTTTCGGCTTTTGATGCTTTTAGCGGAATCTCTTCCCCGCGCGATCTAGATGTATCATTGGTTCTAGGACGTTCCGTAGGCGCGCGACGATCAGGACTTCTTGTTCTAGACGTTACTGTCTCTCTACTTGAGATATGTACCCGTTCAGTCCTCCTCTCCTCTACCCCTCTATTACTCCGTTGTGAGCTCGATTGAGCTCTTCGATGATTCGATTCCGTAGCTCCTGGTGGTGGTGAAGGACGTCGACGTGCATCTGGCCTCTCATTCCTTGTGCCAGCCAGGGCGGACGGCGGGCGAGATCTAGGATTATCATTCGACCTTCGCTCAGATTGTGAAGAAACTCTAGCTTGCGAAGACATAATTATCACATCTGGGTTTGTAAATTATGAGCACGAAGAAGTCGAGAAGATCTTAGATTGAGAATGGTAACTAATTGTATGCGACAGTAAAACCGTATATCTCCATTGCCGTGACTATCAATTTATTTTCTATAAGTCCTATCTTCCCCTCTCTTCACGCGTTTGGATACAATAAACTTCCTTGAGAGACGTGTAGATTACGCTAAGCCTATTTTACCCTAGTAATTTTGCTACCAAAACCTCAGGAACGGGCCATTTGATAGCTTCGCATGCCTGTGCTTGCCTAAAGTAGCTCCTAAATCTGATAGCTACCAACCTCTGCAACAAGCTGTTCGTTCATAACGTCAACGTCCTGAAATTATCTCTCCGCGAATACCCTCAAGCCACTTATTTTCATTCAATCAGCGCAGCATTCTATCGAAACCTCATCTCTTCGCCAACAAGCACATACCTTCTCTTACTTTTGCCAGCGGCTGTTTCTCAAGATGTTTATTGCAAGATCTGAATATGGTGAGTTACTTGAAGGCTTTCTGCGGCGCCTATGCCTTCGTTGTATCAACTAACAAATTCGCAGATCGGGGTATCAAGTATGTCAAAGTCTCAGCTACAACAAGCATCCCGCATTTCAGTTCAATATTAATATAATCCCAGCACCTTTTCCCCAGAAGGTCGTTTGTTCCAAGTAGAATACTCTTTAGAGGCCATCAAGTTAGGATCAACAGCAATAGGAGTTGCAACCGGTGGTGGAGTGGTTCTTGGTGTCGAAAAGCGCGTAACCTCTACTTTACTCGAAACATCTTCCGTTGAGAAGATTGTCGAAATCGATCGTCACATTGGATGTGCCATGTCAGGACTTCAAGCAGATGCACGATCAATGGTAGAACACGCCCGAGTTGAATCTCAAAACCACAGCTTCCACTATAACGAGCCTCTAAGAGTCGAGAGCTGTACTCAAGCCATCTGTGATTTGGCATTGAGATTTGGTGAGGGTGCGGATGGAGAAGAGAGTATCATGAGTAGACCATTTGGTGTTGCTCTTCTGATTGCTGGATACGATGAGGATGGACCACAATTATACCACGCTGAGCCAAGTGGAACCTTTTATAGATATGATGCAAAGGCTATTGGTTCAGGTTCAGAGGGAGCTCAAGCCGAATTACAAAACGAGTTTCACAAGGTACAACAAAATACATGATCACCTATAGATGATTCTTCGCTAACCTAAAATTTAGTCACTCACAATTGAAGAGGCAGAAACTTTGGTGTTGAAGACGTTGAAGCAGGTCATGGAGGAGAAATTAGATTCAAAGAATGTGCAATTGGCTAGTGTTACTAAGGAAAAGGGTTTCCGAATTTACACTGATGAGGAGATGGCAGCTGTTGTTGAACGCTTACCTGCGAATTAAGATTTCGAATAACGAGAAAAGTCTGGATTCAATCTAACATGGACTAGTCAATTTTAGACATCTTAATTGACATGAATAAATGACATTAATGCATATGGAAGTCTTACTTGTGGAAGATTGCTGGACTTTATATTCCGCTTGTAGTGCCGGTGTACCAAAAATTACGAACAATCAAAGCTGCGATATACCTAGAATTTCCTGGGAATTCCCCCTACTAGTGTACGGGAAAAAAATGGACGAAACAATGTCAAATCCTAACTTTGGAACTCTTCAATTACATATTTAAGTTATCTCTTATTACGGTCAGATTCTAATGATATTCTTCAACATTACTGTCCAAATCTATGGATCAAAGGGTCTCCAGGTTCAGATGCTTAAGATTTCGAAGAGGATTATATGTTTGACAGTATTGTTTTTGCGTCTATAAAGCTTGGGAAGTTTTGAGCTCAGTGAATCGAATTCTACAGTACATCGATTTGGGTGGTCCCTCACAAGGACGATAAAAGAATCTCCTGAAGTTACCTTCTAGAACACTCGAATCTCCTTCACTCGTAGAACAGTTGTAGAGTACCTTGGTGCATCATTTATCGCTTGCGTTTGAAGATCGGCTATATTCAGAGCATCGCTTCTCGAGCATGCAAAACCTTATATACAGAATGATCAAAAAGAATAAGATATTTCCATTTTTCAACTGCGACCTACTCAACATCATCTCTAAACACACTTCAAAGTTCAGACCTTATTCCCATGATCCTCCCGAATCAAATCTGCCGCCTTCCCCGCAACCGCATACATAGTAGTCTGACGATTACCTCTCGCAGACACAGGGAAAATGCTCGCATCCACAATCCTCAAATTCTTCGTTTCATACACTATTAATTTTTCACTCACAACTCCTCCTTTATCCAAGGGTAACATCGCACATGTGCTTGTTGGGTGCCATGCACTCAGTGCTGCTTTCTTCAGATATTCCTTGACAGCATTGAGATCCGTAATATCAGAAGGGGCGCCGTGATTTCTCTCTCCGGAAGGTTTGAGAATTGCGGAAAGACGAGGGAAGGAAATAATCTTGGAAATATAGCGGACGTGGCGAGAGAGAATTTCGAGATCGAGGGGATGAGAAAAGATGTTTGGGATCGATTTTTGGAGGAATCTCGGGACTGGAGCTGATAATGTGTGTATTTCCACGGGAGAGCGGATGCAGTAACATACAAGCGATGGTGAGATATTTTGCAGGCGAATTGGCACCATCCTTAGTATCGCAAGTTGCGCTTGAATTTTGCTTGTCGGTGATATCGCCAGAACCGGTCTCCGGGATGAAATTCTCAAGCGCGGCGTGGGGGAAATATCCTCCGGAGCCTTCGGTTGGGGTTCGGGGAAGAAATTATACGAATTTTGCATGGGATTTTGAGAAGGTGTCTTATTCTCATCTCCCGTTCCATATCTCTTGAATAGCACTTCTAAATTATCTCCGCTCTTCTCTGTCATATACGCCCCCATTGCCTCCCCAATCGCAGTACTATCCTGTCGTGCCAACGCATCCATTGTTTTTACACACTCTTCTACGTCAAAAGAAGATCCAAAATTGAGATGATCCTGGAGATTCTCGCCCACATTCCCATTGTCGACGAGTACCGGAATACCCAGACCCGAAAGCAGAGCCGCAGAACCAATCCCTGACAGTTCAAGCAATTTGGGATTTTGCAACGCACCCGCTGCGAGGAACTTCTTTTCTCGCACTCACGCTATAGCTTTGCGAGTCTTTGGTGTACGAGATACCCGTAGCGAGCACATCACCCTTCTCATCTCTCGAATCCGAAAACAGGATTTTAGTCGCCAGTGTAGATGTCACCACAACAGAATTCTCACGCATCGCAATAGATGCATAGTAGGTGGAGATGAGTTCGCGTTTTTGTCGCCGCGTCAATATTCATCGCGTTGATGTGTCTGCCTACCGCTTTTCCGGGAAAGGCATCGCTGGAAAGGTCCCAGCCCATGTGTTTCCATATGTCTACCCAGGCCTTTGGGAGCCCGTTTTTTTTTCTTCCGCGAAGGAGGCTTGCAGGGGTCTGGAAAATGTTTTCTGGATTCTGGAGATCGGGGTCGACATAGGAGAGGGGGAGGTTTTCTATGGTCTCTAGGGATGGAAGTGTAAGGGTGAAAGATTTTTGATAGTAGGGGAGTAGGGAGTCCCATGACCAAGAGGGATTTCCGAGAGATCCTCAGGTGTTGATGCTGAAACGGGAGTTGGCGATGAATGCGCCGCCGTTGAACCTCCTAGAAGCCGGCCTTGGGATAGAAGGACTAACTTGCCGTTGAGATGTTTCTGGGGTCTGTTAGAATCGTCTTCTCGTCTTCTATTTTTAGGTATTTTTATCCTGAATCCAGTGATCTCGGGCATCGATCGAGTATATCATATTCTGAGGAAGAGAGGGGGGGGGGGGGGGGGGGCGAAAAAACAAAACAAAACGGGAAGATAGGATAGAAAGATACACAAGGGAAATCACAAGAGCACACCCGCGGAGCGCTCAAAAACGTCCAATCAGTCTCTGTGCCTAGATTCGCAAGCCAGAGACCGGGTGTGATGATTGTGGGGGAGGAGGAATAATCATTTCCTGCTTCGAGAACGAGGACACGGATGGATGGGTTTTGAGTAAGACGGGTTGCTACGACTTTGGGGGGAGGAAGAGAAGAGAGTTGGTCGATGTTTCTTTGGGGAGTGTACGAAGTTTGAAGAGAATGAAAGGAATGGGGATGAAGGAGAGGGGAAGAGGGAAGGGGTAAAATGGTGGACTAATCTTGATTGATTATAGAGAACGGAATATACATCTACATACCTAGGTATACATACCAAGTCCCGAAGTTTCACCCCCAACAATTCGCACAATCATACGTGTATCCATCTCCAGATCATTCTGCAGAGAAGCCAAATAGGAAGCAGAAATACCGTTTAGGATGGAGGTTGCTGATATGGCGAGTGAGTATGATGAAATATTTCTTCTGCTTCTTCTTTTCGAAATTCAAATGTTGTATATCTTTGTTTTCGAATTGAGAGATAGATGTGTGATGTGATGTAATGTGATGTGTAGGAAAGGAAAGTAAAATGAAGTTGGTAAATATATATAGGTATTGGTTCTCTCTTGCTTTTTCTATAAATTTTAAGAGATACTTTTTACTTCATATCCCAAGTATCTATATCTATTTATCTATTTATCTATTTATCTATTTATCTATTTATCTATTTATCTATTTATCTATTTATCTATTTATCTATTATCTATTTATCTATTTATCTATTTATCTATTTATCTATTTACTACTTATTATTTACTATTTGTTATTTACTACTTGTTATTTACTATCTACCAACCTACCACCCACCTACCTACCCAGTACCTACCCATCTCAACAAAATACAAAATACAAAGTACGCACTCATATATCCCTATTCTACAATAGATACCCCTCACACTCCTCCAAATCCCACATCCCACATCCAACAAATTGGCACAAGTCACAATATCGCTATGTATCCCACTCCCTCCCAACCCAACCCCAGAAAATTACCTCGCCTCCTTGTATGTTTGAATAGGTACCACATGCATATTTATAGAGATTTGTTTGTTATTTCGATAAATAGACTTGATAGATATCTAGATCCAAATATATGATTTCCCGCTCTGATTAACCAACCTATGGAGAATCCGATCGATGGTGTTGTGATTGAAATTCAAATTCAATGGTGTGGAGTAGGTAGGTCTAGTATACATCTGTCTCGTACAATAAAGGAGAAGAGAGACCGGCAGTCATTCTACCTGTAATCTATAAACACAACATCCACAGAATTCCCAGCCTATTTCTCAGAAAGGAAGACCCCCCCTCCCCAGCCGAAAAATTCACATCCACCGCCCCCCAATCCATCACCGACCAATCCAACGTACTGATATCCGCATCAATCAGCCCCATTCCGGGGGTATCTATATATGTGCCCAGTCCAGATGATGCCGTTCCCGATGCAGAAGATCCCAAATCCTCACCTAGCCCATAGAACGCCAGAGACGGCACCCTCGAAAAATCAACTCCATCCCCATCCCCATCCACCTCACCAACATTCTTCTCCATCCTCACCTCCCCTATCCCCGCCAATTCCACCATCCTCTGCCGCACACTCCCCACAATCCCCGGTTCCGCAATCTCCTCCCCCATACTCCTAAAAGCCAGCTCCCGCACCTCCCAAGCCTGCAGAATGATTTTCGCAAAAATGACGAAAAAAGGCCCGGGTATCTCATCATACAGGGTAGAGTTAAATCTCGCTTCATAATTCGCCGTCATGGCCTCCCAAGCGCGCTCTGCTTGTTGACTCAGCGGTCTGCGTTTGAAATTCTGCACGATTTGGAAGTATGCCGGGAAGGGAAAATACATGTTGGACATCCACATGAAGCCTTTCGCCAGGGGGGGTGTCATGAGTTTCGTATCGCATTCGAGCATCTTGAGGGCATGGGCGATAGTAGCATCGCGTACCAAACCCACTTTTGAAGAGTGAGTTTTGCCAGATAAGTGCCAATGTTCTACCAAGTGCCATTTGGCAAGACTCATTCGCGTAGTCCAGATAGTGGTGAAATGGAGTGGATTTTTCGGATCACAGAATCTGAGATATTTTTCCTCAACCATCTTTTCTAGATCAGTGAGCTCGCTGCCTTCTGGAGTAGGGTTATGCTGATGATGTTTGGCTGCGGGTTTTAGAGCAGGATTATTGAAATCAAGATGAAATGTGGTATTTCGAATAAAGTTTCCCATTTCGCCGCGTAAAACGACAAAAACCGCCTCGGTTGGTTTCGGCTGACTTTGCGGAGGATCTTTCATCTTGATATGAAAATCAGAATCGCTCGCATTAAGGGGGACTTTGCAACTCCAAGTAGGAGTCAAGACGACGTGCTTGGAATCAGCGATTTCGCCGATCCGAGTATCGTAAAGTACAAGTGACCACCAAAGTCTTCGGCGCATCTCAGCCTCTAGAGGATTGAGTTTAAATAAAGCGAATTCGTTATGGCAATCCATACGTTGCGCGATTCGAACAGCAATTGCCAGTAAGGAAGACAGAGATTGAGGGACTGATTTGGTTCTGAAAGACATCTGAAGCGGTTAGAAAATAGATACGTTATGGCCCACTACACTTACCAGGTAGAAAAACAAAGCAGTCAAGGTGTCTCGATCATCTCTGTTCCGTAGGAAACCACTATTCAAAAGACCCTGCTGACACCCAAACTGATATCTCGTCAAGAGGTCTGGTTTTGATGCGTAAAACATAAGCTGGCAATCTTCGTAGGAGAGACTCGAAATTGCCACGCAATAAATGCCAAACATTAACGCTTCCAGCTGAGGTTTAATATTCCGGAGATCACCGGCGGCTTCTATGATCTGTGCCTGGAGACTGGGAGTATGCGTAACCTTGAGTAATGGATTAACATTTTCTAGGTAAATTTGCCAAAGTCTGAAAATTTGAACTGGTTCGGGATGAAAAGTAGAAATATCGACGTTTGATACACGTGATCCAAACAAAAAATTATCGTTGTCAGATATTTGATCCCAAACTTTTTTCACATCGGCTTCACGCACATCGTCATCATCAGAATCACTGATATTATCAGGTTCTCGAAACTAAGCCACAGTCAGTGAATGGAGACGAAATCATAAGAAATGACTTGACTTCATACTTCTTGACTCATAGCGTGCCACAGATTCCTAATACTGTTAGTGGGGGCCAAATAGCTTCTTGAAAATTACGTACATAGCCTCGTGTGCTTTTCCAGAATTGGTAGTTGATGGAGATGGTATGTTTGTAGTCGCTTTTGGCTGTTCATCATCGGAATCATTGTGACTTTCAGTATGAGGAGATTCTTTGTGAAGTGGCTCAAACTTGATATTATGTTGGCGTAGAAGATCTTCGTACTTACGAAGACGATCTAGTAGTTCTCGTTCTGGAAACCTGCGTCGCCGCTGACGAGGAAGTTGTGTTGCTGGTGTACATTGTACTCGTGACTTGACGCAGGTAGAACAAGGGTATCTGCGATCACACTTTATTTTTCTCTGTTGACAACGTAGACAAGCGAGTACACGTTGTGGTTTCGAAGATGAGGTGATGGTCGATGTCGCAGGGGACATGTCTGAGGTTCCCTCATCTGGTTGAATAGGTGGCACTTTTGACATGGCTTACAGACAGTTCGTGTAGTATCACAAACTTTTGATATTATTTAGAGAGAAGTCTGTCTTCAATTTTGAAAATTCGGTACTGATGGATGAGGCATAGGCAGCAGCCAAAAAGGAAAGAGCCTCAATCAGACAGTGGCGGTGATGATATTACAAGCGCCCATATCTATGTCTTGACATGCAGAATGATTACTTAAGAAGCTAAAGAATGCTGGTATATTTTACATCATGTGGCTTGTGAAATCGAAGCTCGAGGTTGTACGTACAATGAGGGTGTGAAGAATAGTCTGCTGACTCATCATGTACGTCTAACCAATCATACTCTTATAAATCTTGCTAGCGGACTTAACCTAACAAATTCAAAATCAATATTTATCATATAACTAGCACCAAAGAATGAGGTAAACTCATCTCGCTTCAGTCATACTCAAGCAATGGATCATCTTCTTCGAAATCGAATGACGCTCCGCTAGGCCACTGCCGTGGAGGCTTTTTCGCTTCGCTCTAGTGTTTGGGAATCGATCGAAATTCATATCTTACTCATGTAGCACGTTGAGTTATTATATATTGGTTCGATCTATAGGAATCAGTTGACGATTCTCATAAGTAGATACGCTTATAAGTATATAGTCATGCCCATTATTTGGGATGTAGATATGATTACTAGATATTGATACTATGTAAATTTCATATAGCACCTGCGAGCCTTCATCTCTGTTAGGAAGAAAACAACCTATACTTACTAAAACATCAAGTTTATTCAAACATCAGCATAAGTTCCTGGAAGAATTAGCTTTACCATACCCAGAGCCTCTACATCGCTATTGTACTTTTGTTTAGCACCACAATCCGACCCCACGAACCATGCGCTGCCTCGAACTCCCCCCATTAAACAATCGCAAGTCTTCCACTTCTCCCTGCCTTCTGTTAGCTTTGGATGCATCTCAAGTTATGCTCATCCCAGGCCATCACACAAATATAACATGCCTCGGGAATTCTTGGCCCAATTACTAACAGAAAAATTTCACAATAAGAAAGTCGAATATTGAAAGTCAATGTGAGATAAGTACATCGCAGCTTAACGAGAGCTCCGAGCATGTGGTAATCATATGCAATGCCACCCCTACTTAACCCAAAGAAACCAATCAAGAGCAGTGTTCCACCAAAGTGCCTGTGCTAGTTTGTGTCTACATGAGAAAATTTCAAGTAACTCTAGACCGCACCATTTCATCCACAATACATCTTCATTCCAAAGATTCATCTTTTGGTCGACTCCTCCAGTTATTCTCAGTAGCCGAGGTGAACATATAAACCAACATATTCGGAGGATGTGCCAGAAACGATAGAGGAATATAGTTGTTTCCAAGACGTCAGCTGGCGTGGAAGCGCATACTTATTAACCTGGGGTTCATTTTAAATATAACTCGGAAAGATACTACACCTTCTGGGCGGTCGAAACCGACCTCCAGATGTTCCTTTAATAAGAGCAGATTCTGTCGTATGAGGAGCTGCTCTGAGCTCTGTCGGATTTATTGCAGGGAGAGCCATTTCTGGATTGCCACCGCTGGAATTATCAGGGGAACAGTGACTCCTCAAGCCATTGTCATTTTCTGGCTGTCTCATCAATCAATAATTTTATGGCACTGTGTGTTGGACATGCAAGAATGTAATTAAAAAGCCTAACACTGACAATAACAACACCAGAAACATCAGAGAAGATCCTTTCAGCGAACGAATTCCGTCTAGACTTTACATAAACTTTCATGTTCCAAACGACAAAATTTTAACATTCAACTCAAACATGAAGTGTTAAACTATACGACAACAACAACTCTGTATTCGAGCGTAGCGAGCTACGGGGTTTGGGGGGCTTGCCCCCATAATAGAAGACGCTTCGCTGATCCTCCGGGGGCCACTGCCGTGGTGGCAGACTACTGTACAGAGTCGATTTGGAACTGGGTTTGGGGATTTGCCATATAGGTTTAGTGGAGAACTCGTTGTATTTTATCTCAAGCTCACAAGACTTAGTTGTTTTGCCACTTATAAGAGTATTTCGTTTGGGGGTGGGGAAGGGGAGTCATCAAGTGCAATATCTGAGGGGGTCTGGAACCCGGACAATCGTTCGATAGGAATGTGGAGATTTGAAATGTAAATTGAGAATGAAAGATGCTTACCTTCGTGTAGTGTAGTATGCAAATGGAATGATTGAACCGCTCTATTGATCTCATTCATGACTGACTTGAAGATCTCGTTGAGGATCGACCTTGTACAATCTCGAGTACTATGACTTTACTGAAAGTATAGTGATGGAGTGAAGTTTCCGCTACGCTTGGAGGAGAACGGTCTATTTCCAGATCTCTGGCAACCAGCCATCCAGCTTTCCGGTAAGCAAAGAACAATGTAGAATTTCATTCCAAACCAGACATACTGTCGTGAGATTTTCACACACCATTCCAAAAGTCATCATCGTCTGCGCAGCACTACACTGCATTGAATTAAGACCCCGCCTCTCCGCCTCTCGTGTTCGCATACTCAATGCCCAACAAAGTTTTTGGCCTCATCGATCCTTACGATCTTATCAAACACGCCATTCAAAGTGGGTTGATCATGTGTCCACAGTGGTACCGGACTGAGACAGGATATCCATAAATTCCGTGAACACGCCATTGACCAACCAACTGTTACTCAAAGAAGGGATAGATGATAGATGGACCAACCAACAACCGCTTCGGTGGCAAAAACTCACGAGGTTCCCAGCCTCGGTAATGGATATGAATGTGGAGGTGGCTGCATGGATTATTCTCGATGCATGAAATTTGTGGAGAAAAGAAGGATTTGTACATTTTTTCCTCGACAATCTTATCGGTGGTAGTTTATTCCTGTTCCGCCCGCTTCTCAACAAAAAAGTGATTTGATTTTTGGTCCCCCACTAGGGCAAGGGTGAAAACCGGAAGTGGTCTGGGGGTTGTTCCATGTTGGGGAATCGAGAGTGAAGTGTCAGGTCAATCTTCAATTCTGTGATTGTGATTGGATAAGAATGATATTTGAATTTCCGACCAATGGCACATGGTGATTTTGGCCAAGATTGCTCGTTGATGTTTCATGAATTGGCGATGAAGAGACTGGAATGGATAAGAGAGTGATTGAATGGGAATCGAACGGGAACGGAGTTGACTAATTGTTATGGGCAAATATCCCAATGAAGAATTGAGAATTAAGAATTAAGAATTAAGGATTTAATACTGAGTAAGGATTTAGCAATATTGAAGTTGTTATAACTTATCTCCAGCTTCAAGAGAAAATGCAATTATGGTAGCGGTATCCCTATGTAACGACAATGCAGGTCCGAGTCCAACATGTCTAAGGCTGTGCGATGTTAGGTTGTCAAGGGACTTTAATTAGTGGCATCCCAAAGTTATTTAAAGAGTAACTTTAAGGGTCCAAGAGAAGGTCTCATCTGTGGCTTGTGTACTTGTGCTTGTGCTTGCTTGTGCTTCCAAGGTTGTGCTTGGACTGGTAGTCTGGTACTCTCAATCTTGGAATTTGGGTAATTGAATGGAATTAAAGTCATCTTGATTGATTGCGTGGTTGAGACATTTTTGAATTTCCTCATGACAACACTCATACAGCATACCTGGATAAAGTTCATCACGTATAATATCAAAAACAGGTATTATACCACCCATCTACCTAGGTAGGTAATAACTTCCTGATTGATCCGATGAGCAATGGATGTTGTTGGAATGGATGGTAGAAGTCACTAGGAGATTCCTGCGAATGTACCTGAGCTCGCTTAGTGAGCCAATCAATCTTTCACAATTCTGAAATCTGTTGGGACGTTGAGGATTTGGGGATATCACTCACAGCCTGCCAACCTGTCTGTGATTGTTATTGATGACCACATGTGAGTAATAAGAAAGAAATGATTAATGCCAGGTAGGAAATCACCGAGGACAGGAAAAGAAAGAGGAAAGATTCCAAACTTCAGTTCCCTTCGTTTTCACGGTAAATCAGCGAGAGCATAATTCTTTCCAAAAATACCACGGCGAATGGAGTATTGTCTTGAAATTCTGATTACAGATCCACCACATGAACCGAATGAACGTCGATGCTTTATTAGCAAGGGGAAGATGAACGGAAGATGACAATAAACACAATACCGTGCAAAGTGGCGAAAATTCAAGATTTTACATAGATTGTCCAGCTTATCAATAATTAAAAAAGACCAACGAAGAAAATAGCTCCACGCTTGCTGTTACTAGTATTTTCTAGGTTTTCCCATCAAAAAAAAATAAAAATCGACCATAAAAAAGTCTCCATTTTTATTACCTTACGTTTGATCACCCAACCGAGTTACCGATTCATTCAGTCCCTTGAACTTCTTTACCCATTCAATTCTCCATCCCTACATATCCTTGTTCGGAAAGTACACTTTAGTACATTTCCAAACACCATCAAATCTACTTATAAGTTCAACCACTCCTCCATCAAGATCTTTCTTTTCTTCCTTCCCTCACGCTCTCTTCCCCCCCAATATCATCGACGTTCTTTCAAAATGGCTTCGAACGCGTCGCAACCTTCGAGCATGGCGAAGACTTCTGAGCCAAATCGCAACAAGAAGTATGACCCAAAGAAGCCTCATATCACCGAGGAGCCAATTACCAAGGCAAACTGGTACAAGCACGTTAACTGGCTTAACGTCACTCTCATTGTCGGAGTTCCCATTTATGGTCTCATCATGGCCTACTGGACTCCTTTGCAGTGGAAGACTGCTGTCTGGGCTGTCCTTTACTACTTCATGACTGGGTTGGGTATCACAGCTGGTAGGTTCTAATTGATTTCTCTCCACAGTGAATTACATCTAACACATTCCTTCAGGTTACCACAGACTTTGGGCACATTCCTCATACTCTGCCACACTTCCATTAAAGATTTTCCTCGCAGCCGTTGGAGGTGGAGCCGTCCAAGGTTCCATCAGATGGTGGTCAAGAGATCACAGAGCTCATCACAGATACACCGATACCGATAAAGATCCATACTCCGTACGAAAAGGTATCCTATACTCTCACTTTGGATGGATGGTCATGAAGCAAAACCCAAAGCGTATTGGCCGTACCGATATCTCCGATTTGAACGATGACCCAGTTGTTGTTTGGCAACATCGCAACTACATCAAGACTGTTATCTTTATGGGTATGATCTTCCCATGTCTCGTCACCGGTCTTGCATGGGGTGACTGGTTCGGTGGTTTCATCTATGCCGGTATCCTCAGAATCTTTTTCGTTCAACAAGCTACTTTCTCTGTCAACTCCTTGGCTCATTGGCTCGGTGACCAACCTTTCGATGATCGCAATTCTCCTCGTGATCACGTCATCACTGCTCTCGCTACTCTCGGAGAAGGTTACCACAACTTCCATCACGAATTCCCATCTGATTACCGTAACGCTATCGAATGGCATCAATATGACCCAACCAAATGGTCCATCTGGATGTGGAAGCAACTCGGTCTCGCCTACGATCTTAAGCAATTCAAGTCCAACGAAATTGAGAAGGGCCGTCTCCAACAACTCCAAAAGAAACTCGACCAAAAGAGACAAACTCTTGACTGGGGTATTCCTCTTGAACAATTGCCAGTCATCGACTGGGACACTTACCAAACCGAAGCCAAGAATGGACGTGCTCTCGTTGCTGTCGCTGGTGTTATTCACGATGTCACCGATTTCGTAAAGGAACATCCAGGTGGAAAGGCACTTATCACATCCGGTATTGGCAAAGATGCAACTGCTATTTTCAATGGCGGTGTCTACAATCATTCCAACGCTGCCCACAATCTTCTCTCAACCATGCGTGTAGGTGTCCTACGTGGTGGATGTGAAGTTGAGATCTGGAAGCGTGCTCAACGTGAGAACAAGGATATTTCTTTTGTCAGTGATACCGCTGGTCAAAAGATCATCCGAGCTGGTAGTCAGGTAACCCGCATTGCGGAACCTGTTCCATCAGCAGATGCTGCATAAGCATTTTCATTAATGAGTGGATGATCCGAATGCCTTCAATTGAATGGCAAAATTAAAAATTGCATCTTTGTTTTTAACAAGCGTGGGTTAGTGTGTCGTTTTAGACTGGGGCGTTGGTAATACTGGTCAACATGGTGATTTTAATATTAAAGTCAAGGAACGGATGGTGGGATGGGTTACTTTTTTCTAAACTGAGCAAAGATGATAAGTGGTTCAGATTATGTATCTTAGACAAGCGTGAAGAGAGGAAAAACTTTACATTTTGGAAGGGGATGATGAGATGGCTCATAAATATTTGGGTCAATAGAATCAAAACTGTTACTTTCACTTTACTTGTTTTGAATGCCGTTCTGTGTGATGTGACGACGTTTGACTTTGCTATGAATTGTATAACTTTCATATCAATCTATGCAGAAGATCTGACACCATCATGAAAGACCTCCGACCATTAAGATTGCTTTGATACATACAATTTATTAAATCTCGAAATGGCCATGTGCATATTCATACCTAGTACTCCGTAGGTATTCATCTTCATCTTCATGTTCTTGTTCTCCTATCTGATCAATCTACATCGTATTCGTAATCCTAGGTATGGACATATAGAGCCATCAATCAGTATCGACATCAGTATCAGTATCAGTATCAATATCAGTATCAATATCAGTATCGACATCAGTATCAGTATCAATATCAGTATCGACATCAGTATCAGTATCAATATCAATATCAATATCCACCTATCACATCCCAACGGCGCACTAAACCCCGGATTCGGAATCGGATTCGAATTTCCGATATTTAGGTTTTTTGCCTGTGTACGGAGTATATGGATGGATGTGTGGATGGGTGTGCATGTGCATGTGTGGATGAATGGATGTGTGCCGAGGTTCGATGGATATGGATATGGATATGGAATGGGGGGCGGACCCCTGATTTTGATTGATGGATTGATTGATTGTATGATTGTGTAAAGGACGAAGTACCATCGACCGCGCAATTGCGAGATTGTTGTGTATTTATCTGTTTGTCTGTCGGTCTGTCTGTCTGGTCTATTAGGGTTGAGATTGAGATTGAGATTGAGATTGAGATTGAGATTGAGATTGGCTTTTGAGGGATATTTATTTGATTTATTTATTTGTTGATTTATTTATTTGATTTGATTTGATTGATTGATTAATTGCTCGATCGATCAATCAATCGATAGCTCGTTGTAAAAAAACTACTCGAGTAGGATAAAAGATAAAAGATAAGAAGGAGAAGGAGGAGGAGAAGAACAAGAAAGCAAATAAGAAAACAGAAATGTCTTCAGAAACGCAAACGAAATTCGATGCGAAAAATGATGTGGGATTGAAACGATTGGGGTTCTTGATGAAGGGGTGGAAGGATAGTAGGGAGGGGTATATTGTTAGTTTATCCTTTTTTTCTTCTTTCTTTTTTTAGGAGGGGGGGTGGGGAGAGGAAGGGGGATTGGGGGGGAGAGGGGGGGGGTTTGCTGGAGGGGAGGGATAGGAGGAGAGTAGAAGGGAGAGGGATGTGGTTTGCGTTTCGTTGGAATTGGTTTCTGTCGTGGTGCTTGCTTGCTTGCTTGCTTGCTTGCTTGCTTCTAGAGAGGAAGAGGAGAGGAAGAGGTTGATGGAGATGGAGATTCCATATATTGATCTCTGCGAGTTGCGAGTTTGCATACTCTTCTCATCCTTCCTATTCTTTCCACCCTTCCGCCTCCATCTCACCTCATTTCTATAACCGCTCACCGGAACTTCCATTCCCATTCCCTTCCTTCTCCTTCATTCCCATTCGTCCTCTCCAATTCTCTGGCCCTCCAATCCCCTAGCCATTCAATTCTCCAGCCTTCCAAACCCAAAAATAACCCCTCATCCCCCACCCTCAACCTCACAATCAACCTCATCAACTTCTAAGCTAGAAGTGCAGTCCATCCCTTCTTGCCATCTCAATCCCAATCACATTAACATATACAACTCAACCCCATAAGAAAATCTAACTAACACATCTCCTTCTTCTTCCCTAGGGATGGGGTCATGATCTCCTACCTTCGCTCTCGCTTTCTGCGGATGCGGAACATCATTCGGAGAATGTGACGACGTTTGTTTTTAAACCGACGGTGCATCATTGGTTAGTTTTATTTAATTTGATTTCCGATCTTTTTGAAGGGGAGGGGGGTGATTATTTGGGAGATGTTGGTTTACTGCTATGTACTCTCGGCTTGTTTTCTATTACATCTCATTGAGAAATTCTGCTTCGAAGGGTTACAATGTACCCGTAAATCAAGCCTTACATCTACACCCAGACCTCAGATTCCTTTTCTCCCTCTCCCCCTCCCCCACTCTCCACTCTCCACATCCCGCTAACACACCCACCCACCCTCACAGCAACGCAAACTCCACCGTTCATGGCGGCTGCATCGCAACCGTCTTCGATGCCTGCACATCCGTTGCACTCATGGGTCGCTACAGCGCTCAGAAATGGGGCGGTGGTGGAGTGAGTAGAGGATTGGGATGTACTTATTTAAAGGGCATTACTATTCATGAGGAATCTGAAGGAGAGGGAAAAAATGATGTATTGGTTGAGTGTGAGGTTGTGGGGGGTTTGGGGAAGAGAAATGTGGTTTTGAGAGGTTAGTATTTTTCTTTCTAGGATTTGGATTTAGAAAGTTGGGTGGGATGGGATGCGGTGGTGGTTTGAGTTTGGGTTTCCTGTTCTCATTTCGTTTCTTCTTTTTTCTTAACATCATTCTTTCTTACTTTGTTTTTGACTTCTCTATCTATCTATTCCCTCTATCTCTAATATCACATCACCACCCGTCCATCCCTCTACCCCATTTCACAACCCATTTATCTACCCAGCCTGGACACCAAACAAATACACCCAAACTCCCCCCCCCCCATCCCAAACGAAGAAAAGCTTCAAAACCTTTCCTCCATCTTCCCCATCTCAACACCCACTTGTCTCTACTCACAGCAAAACTCCCCAGACACAATACCCCAAATTCCCGAATCAAATTCAGATTCGGATTCAGTCTCAAAACAAAAGAAAGAAAACTAACATTCCACTCCACCACCCCAGGAACAATGAAACGCAGAACCGGAGAAGTCCTAGCCATTTGCGAACATAGTAAAGTGAATATTGTGGGTGTGGAATTACCTGGTTCTGCTTCTGGTTCGAAGGAGAAGGAGAAGGAGAAGAAAGAGGGAAAGGGAAAGGAGTCGAAGTTGTAGATTTGAGGGGTGAGAGCTGTGGGTTGTGGGTTATAGATTGCGGGGAAGGTAGATGGAGGAAGAGGAGGAGGAGAAGAAAAGGAGAAGAAGAAGAGGAGAGAAAGAAGATGAAAAAGATAAAAGGGGTATATATATCTAGATGAATATCTAAACAAATAAACAGATGAATATATATCTATAAATAAGAAATTCAAATGTTGATCTGTATATTTATTCTTCTACATCTGCTAGTTCTATATCCACTGTGACGATTGCATCATTTAGAATACTAAGATGAAGAGCTAGAAGAGCTCTTCGGAAGAAAGTGGTAATATACAGGATTATGAATTATATAAGAACCTAGCCGATCTATTAATATAACAGGATCATTATACTACCCCCCCCTTCTGAAAAGCTTGTTCTCGAATATATTAATAGTATTCTAAATACAATTCTCTAATCCAATTATATTATAATCTATATTCTTTATTATCATTAATATCTGATCCATAATTCCAATACTAATTCTAATATTACTTATAATATGATTTATAATATTATCGATCGCTTTACGAAAGTATATGTTTTATAGTTTTATTGCTTTTGTAAAAAAGACTTCGAAATCAATAGGAAAAGGTTTCAAGAGTTGTTAAAAAATAAAATGAGCAAAAGAAAAGAGATCCGTTTGAAATGTATCTCTTATCAATAATACCAATAGAGTAACGGAAGCATTAATAAAATGCAAATTGACTTAACAAATCAACTGAATAAGCTGCTTCATTGTGGTATTGATTGTATGAACATATTGATACTTCGAATTAATCAGTTCCTATAGTTTGCATACTAGATTCAGGATCTTTGGATCCATTATTGATAAAGCAAGGAGACTCTAAATAATATAATAATGAGATATCAGCTTATCGATGAGTAAGATCCACAGGAATGGAGCTAGAGAGAGATCTTAATCGGAAGTCATACAAATAGTTGTATCAGGGAAGCGGATATAGAAGGCAATAAGTATTCGATAAGCAGGCTAGCAATAGAAAGCTTTGCAAAAGCAATCAAAAGCTTAAAAAATTTATATAATCTTAGTATAATGTGACGATTGCATTATTTAGAATACTAAGATGAAGAGCTAGAAGAGCTCTTTGGAAGGAAGTGGTAATATACAGGATTGTGGATCACGTGAGGACCTAGCCGATCCACTAATATGACAGGATCGTCACATCCACTAGAAATCGATTATATTATATTTTTAATATATAAATTAGTTATTAGAAATATTTAAAGAGGTTTGATGTATTCTACTCTAATCTTATATAATGGGAGGAATGGAGTTTAGATTATGAGATGTATAGTTTTTATATCTTGATATCTTTATATCTTTATATGTTTATATTTTTATATTTTTATATTTTTATTATCTCTCGTCTCTCATCTCTCTTCCTTTATCTCTCTTCCCCCTCTCTCTTCCCTCATCTCTCTTCCTTCATCTCTCTTCCCTCATCTCTCTTCCTGCATCTCTCTCTCTATATACATATATATACTCACTATATCAACTCCCTCTATATATTTTAGTAATATAAATTCTTATATATCTATCTATATATATAATTATCTATCTACATCAATTATATTATATTATAATATATAAGAGTTTAGGCCTCGACTTATCGTTCATTAAGCGAAAACACAATAAAAGCCTTCATTTATTCAACGTTTTAACTATATAAAATTTGAATGAATAATTTAATGAAATGATTCAATTAAGATTTATAACAGATATTTATTGAAATTATTCAAAAAAATGAATGAATTATTTTTAAAAAAAAATTTGATAAAGTTATTGATTTTCAAGAGAGAATTTTCAAAATTTTCAAAAAATTGATTTTTTTTATGCAGGAAAAGTATTACATGTGATAAATTTTGAAAAATTTCAAATTTGAAAATTTTATAATTCTATTAAAAAAATCGCTAAAAATAACATTTTTTATTTTTAAGATTTGAAATATAATAATCTTTTATATATTCAATTTTTAGTTTAATTTTTCAATTATTGAATGAATTATAAAAGAAAAAATTGGTTTATATAAGAAAACGACTTTTTTGTAG